ATCGAGAAGCTCCCTGCGTGGTTCAACAGGCAGCGAGACAGAGAACCACCCTGTCTAAGTCTCAGAGGACTTTGCCCAGGGGCTGAGCAGGGCCCTAAGTGCTGTATTCATCAGGGTTCTTCAATAGATTTTAGATCGATCAGTCAATCTCTGGATCCGTATCTATCTATCCAGAGAAAACCCATTATAAGGACCCGGCTTACATGTCCATGGAGCCTGACAAGCCTCACGAGTTGCCAGGTGAGTCAACACGCTGGAAAGCTGATGGTGTCTGTTCCAGGCGGAGCCCAAAGGGGAGACAAGACCCATTCTCCAGCTCAAAGAGAAGCCGAGAGGGTGAATGGCTCTAGATTTATCTTCCTCCTCTCACCCAGGCTCACTAATATCTTGTCTTCTTAGAAAGAAAATGCCATGAAGTTAGTACGTGTTCCTACTGTCTGCGACCTCTGGATCAATCCCACTGCATTACGACGAAGACAGAAGTCAAACGTTTCAGGGGCACCTGGGTGGCTCAGTCGGTTAAGCGTCCGACTTCGGCTCAGATCATGATCTCACGGTTCGTGGGTTCGAGCCCCGCGTCGGGCTCTGTGCTGACAGCTCAGAGCCTGGAGCCTGTCTTCGGATTCTGTGCTTCCCTCTCTCTCTGACCCTCCCCTGCTTGCTGTCTCTCTCTCTCTCTCTCTCTCTCTCTCTCTCTCAAAAACGCTAAAAATAAGACACTGAGATGCTGGGCTGTTTACTGTAGGACTTAGCGTTACCCTAACTAAGATATGACCTCACTGCTGTATTTAACCCTGGAAACAGCCTGGGTGTGTCACATTGCTCTGACGCAGGCCCTTCTGTAAATGGCACAGGTCACACGGGCAGGCCGAGTGGTGCTGACTTACACCCAGGCCGTGGCCCCTGGACACTGGGGGGCTGCAGATCGCCTGGGGTCAGGGCACGTAGCTGAGCACCAGCTCTCTGCTTAACACTTAGTACCTGGACCTGGGGAGCGTCAGAGAGCAGTCTTCTGTCCACGAGTGGCCCCGATTATTTTACCAACTTTGTATCATACTGTGAAGGCCAAGTCCACCTAACCCGCATCAAACACCCAGCAGAGCACTTGGCTTGTGAATGAATGTAAGCTGCTGTTGTGAAACCACCCCGCGGTCCTCATGATCCTTCCTTCCTCCTGTTTGGGGTAACTGCATGTGCTTACAGATCTCACAACGCTAAAATCTTCCTTCTGAATGAGGACTCTCTTCACATAAGATCTTCTCAGAATAGAAGGGAAACAACAGTCGTCCCACCCCAAACCCCAAGTGCAAGGTCTTCCAAATCTGATCTTTTATAAACAGAGGTCACAGTAGCTTGAACAGTCAGTTCTCTTGGTATTCTGGGATGGGAGGAATATTTACCTTTTAAAAAAAATTTTTTAGCATTTATTTATTATTAAGAAACAGAGACAGAGCATGAGCAAGGGAGAGGCAGAGAGAAGGGGAGACACAGAATCTGAAGCAGGTTCCAGGCTCTGAGCTGTCAGCACAGAGCCTGATGCGGGGCTCGAACTCACAAACCGTGAGATCATGACCTGAGCTGATGTCAGACACTTAGCTGACTAAGCCACCCAGGCACCCCTTTACCTCTTAAACAGCTGTTCTCAAAGAATGCTGCCTCCAGTCCCAGAGGCGACATGAACCGTGCCGTTGAAACTCTCGCTCTTTTTGCTTGTTGGCTGTGTCATGGGAACTTGTCCCATCGGCTTACAGAGGGAGAGAAGAAAGTAACAGCACAGATGGCTGGCCTCTGGGAGGTGGCGACTCACTAACCTTGCAGGTGAACCCCCCACAGAGGAGAAGTTTCTTATTCACAGTACATTTCCAAGCAGAAAAAGTAAGCGGGAGGGAAGTCATCTGAGAGTGACTTCAGCTCACGGTTTGCTTGCTCACGTTAGACAGACTCTACTAAAGTATGACCTTTATTATTTCCACTGTACTGCGTGCCGATCAAACCCAAAGTCCCAAATCAATGACTCTATTTTGCAAACACAGGTGTCCTTCTCCTAAATCAGCCCCAAACCACACTTCCGTCTCAAAGAGAGAATGTGAGTGACTGTTAAAACCATAGGACTCTTGCCCTCTAACGTAACAATTTGTGTCATGGCGCGCTCAAAACCAATCCCCTCCACACTGACCACCACTGGCACCTCTGCCCCAAGCTCGGACGCCCCACCTGCCCTAAGTGAGCGCCTCCCTGTCTGGGACCCTGCTCAGATTACTGGCAGGTGCCCTCTTCCCTGCTACCCAGTCTCAACCTTGAGCGACTCTCATCCTCAGTGTCGTGCTCATGAGGCTAGCCGGCCATTAGGCAAACAAGAGCACAGCTAACCTCACCTTCTTTTCTTGCCACACAGATTTCAGAATTTGCTGGGAAGATATTTAGCATTTCAATACGTACCGTTATCACAACCCACTCACGCACGGCAGCACCCCGTGCCCAGAAGACACTCTCCTTCAGCACTCGGGGCGTCGTTCCACCACCACTCATCCACAGATACTGATGGGCACGGCATGTGCTTAGTTGCAGAGCGATGGTGGGGAACAAGGGAGACTGGGTCCCACTCCTTGGGCACTTACGGCCTGGCGGGGAGAAGCTGTCTGTACAAGGGACAGGCCCTTATGGCACAGGGCGATCGTGGCAGATGACGGACATTGAGGGACCCAGGAGAAGCCACGGACTCAGACTGAGAGAGTGTCAGGCAAGACTTGCTGGACAGAAGAAGTGCGAGTAGAAGTTTTCCAGGTGAAGGAGGTAGAGGACATGGAAGAGGGGAGAACATTCCAGAAAAGTCAGTGTTCCCGAAACATGAATGCACACACCCGAGTTTGAGGGATTGAAAGATTTCGAAGTGGGAAGTGTTGGAAAAGGGGTGTGGTGAAGGAGGGAACTGAGAGGTACGCGGGACAGGCCAGGGCATGCTGGCCTCGGAGGCCACGTTAAGGAGTTTGAGTTCTAGCCTCAGGGCAACAGGGGCCCATCAAAGGATTTTAAGGGAGATGTGCCGGTCGGCTTTGCACTCCGTCACTGTACCCCTGGCTACGGATCAGAGCCAGTGAACGGGGACAAGTTGGGAGGCAAAGGGCCAGTTGGAGGTTTGCTGCAGGAACCCAGGAGAGCTAGATGCCACGCTCTGGGCAAGGTAGCAGCCACGGAGACACAGAGTGGTGGGCACACGGGACGGACGCTGGCGATAAGCCGGCTGCACACAGAGGATGGTGACAGCTGTCTGCGAAGACCCAGTCAGGAGGTACAGGAACTGAGGAGCGGCTTTGTGGGTCAAAGGAACGAGTCCAGAGTGGGGAAGGTCGAGTTGGATGCTTCGTTGGGTCAGCAAAATGAAATTTAGCAATACGCTGTTTTTAGGTTTGGGGTTTTTTTTTTTTCAGTACACACCAATTTATTTATTATCTAGGATTTATACACCCACCTTCTGAAAGATGAATAAATCCTAAACAGCATTAAAACACACTGTAGGGGCACTTGGGTGGCTCAGTCTGTTAAGCATCCAACTCCTGATGTCGGCTCAGGTCAGGATCTCACGGTTTGTGAGTTCGAGTCCCACATCAGGCTCCGCACTGACAGCACAAATCCTGCTTGGAACTCTCTCTACCTCTTTCTCTGTCCCTACCCCATTCGTGCTCTCTCACTCTCTCTCAAAATAAATAAATAAACTTAAAAAAAAATCTTAAGCACACTGTGAGAAGTTTTCATAATGTTCTCACACAGATATACTTTCTCCTGAACATAATTGCTCCAATAAAGCCTCCTACAACATCAGATGGTCTGTCTCCTTAATAATATTTATTGTCATGGAGCCAGTATTTGGTCAATGGTGTTGAAAAGCAGGTTTCTCTCTTCTTAGACAAAGCTCCCGTTTCATAGCAGAGCTCCAAAAGTCTCCCAGCACCTACATCAAGGATGCCAAACAAAAGCAAATTTTTCAATAGCAGCCAATATAAAGCAGAGGGAAGAAAAAAAACCCAACTCAATAGCCTAATTAAAAATGAACAAAGGAGGGGCGCCTGGGTGGCTTAGTCGGACTTAAGCGTCCGACTTTCGCTTAGGTCATGATCTCGCGGTTCGTGGGTTCGGGCCCCGCGTCGGGCTCTGTGCTGACTGCCAGCTCAGAGCCTGGAGCCTGTTTCAGTCTGTGACTCCCTCTCTCTCTGACCCTCCCCTGCTCACGCTGTCTCTCTCTCTCTCCTAGAAATAAATAAAAAACATTTTAAAAAAATTTTTAAAAATGAACAAAGGAAATGAAGATTAGTCCCAGTAATAAATAAATAAATAAATACAATGGCCCTAAAACTCGGAGTTCACTCGATAAGAGAAACGCAAATTGCAACTCTTCTGAGACGATTTTCTGCCAGGAGATGAACAAAAACGAAGGAGTCAGGTAGCGCTCGGTGTTGGGATGGAGGTAGGGAAACCAACTCAAAAGAGTATGTAAAGTGGTATCATTTCCATGGAGGGCAATTTAGTAATGGCCCCAAATGTAATAAGCCTCTAACATTGTTTTTCAGCAAATCCATCTCAAGAAATGTGTTTAATAGATACACACGTATGAATGAAATGGTTTAAGTTTACAATGATTCACTGAAACATGGAGCTAGCCAAGACATCCATCAGTAGGAAACTGGTTTATGTAATATGTTACAACCACAGAACAGAAAACTATGCAGCCATCTAAAAGGAAGGGGGAAACAACCCAGAGGCCCACGGACAGATGCATAAACAAAATGTGGTCCATACATACAATGGAAGTTTCTTCAGCCATTAAAAGGAAATGAAATTCTGATATATGCTATCACATGGATGACCCTTTAGCACTTTATGCCAAGTGAAATAAGCTAGACACAAAAGAACAGATGCTGTAGGATTCTGTTGTATGAGGTTGTTAGAACAGTCAAAGCTAGAAGAGTCAAATTCATAGACACAGGAAGTAGAATGGTGCTTACCAGGGACTTGCGGGAAATGAGGACTTATGTTCAACGAGCACAGAGTTTCAGCTGTGGATAATAAAAAAGTTCTGGAGATGGATGGTCGTGACAGTTCCACAACACTGTGAATGTACTTAAGGCCACTGAGCTGCACACTTTTTTTTTTTTAATGTTTATTTGTTGAGAGAGAAAGACAGAGACAGAGACAGAGTGCAAGCGGGGAGGGGCAGAGAGAGAGGGAGACACAGAATCTGAAGCAGGTTCCGGGCTCTGAGCTAGCAGTGAGCATAGAGCCCAATGAACTCGACCCCACGAACTGTGAGATCATGACCTAAGCCAAAGTTGGCCGCTTAACCGACTAAGCCACCCAGGTGACCCGAGCTGCACACTTTCGAGTAGTACGTTTCATGGGGCGCCTGTGTGGCTCAGTTGGTTAAGCATCAGACTCTTGATTCGGCTCATGAGATCTAACTTCGTGTCAGGGTCCATGCTGAGAGTAGACCCTGCTTGGGATTCTCTCTCTCTCTCTCTC